CCCGGCCTTGCACATGTCTTGCCTCGCCGGAAAGTTTCGAAATTACGGCGAGACCTGCCCGAGAGGGCCACTCCCTAGGCCGTGGGCCACTGGCCCTCCCACCGGGCCGCCGAAATTTCTGACATTCTTGCTGGGTCGTGGTGGAATCTGGGGCGTATTGGACGCATTCGCCTGACTGATCGAAATGCTTATATTACATGCCTCCGTCCCACTTGACTAGATGCCATCTGTCATCTGGTCCGCTTCGACAATTTTTTTTTCCTGCAGGGTCTTTCTTCACAGTGCTGGGAAGAGCCCAGGGAGAATTGGTGATGTGAGCCCTGACTGCGTACAGCCCTGCTTACGAAAAAGTAGTAGGCATGATAATAGCACTGTCTATTAGTATCTATAGCAGTATGCCGCCCAGAAATTATCGTACTGTGTACGTAGGCTCGAACGAGGCTCAAACAGGGCAGCATGTATCGTCGAGCCCTACGCATACTACTGCCTGCACTTGCAGCAGGGACCCTGGCAGCTGGGAGCTGGACAGCCGCAGGAATCACCGTCTCCGGGATTGCGGTTCCAGAAAGGAACAGCAAACGGCGTATGATTGATTCCTTTCCAACATTTTGGGAGCCCAGGAATAGCAAATTCCCAATCCAGCATGCCCAACAAAGGTCAAGACGACCGACCTTCGTGGATCGATTATTTCAAACCCACGGCTCTGCCTAGCTAGCTGCCGGCAGGGGCCTTCGTGTCGTCTGGTCATGCCATGTTGGCTCCATGCACATGCAGAGTGAGGAGGAAGGCTGCTTTGTTTCTGCAGCAACAGGCAGCCTGATCCATCCGGTCTCCATCAGACTGCTGACTCGGCTTCGCCTGATCTGAGGTACCGAGGTTTTCTGTCGCACCGCAGCGATTGGTCTCGTTGCCTCCTGCCCCCGTGCCGCCGGGGCTCCGGCCTCAGGGGGACGGGTTTTTGGAGGATCGGTTGATGGGTTTAATTCCTTACCCAGCAACCGACGGCAAGGGTCAAGGGTCTCTGCTTCTGGCAGCACTTTAAGCCCGCTCTAAGCCAGCTCCAAGCCAACCGGCTGGTTGGGTGGCTGAGACATGTCCCATATCCAAGTGCTAAACGGGACAGGGGAGTCACGCTGGATAGCATGTTTCGGTTGGCATGGCCTCTGGCAAATAAGGGTCCAGAGAAGGCCTTTTCAGCGCAGCCATTCGACTCCATCATCACCAGAAAAGGCAAGCCGCTCATCCGCTGACACCTTGTGGTAGCGCTGATGGGCCCACCTGCGGCGGCGGTTTCGGGAATCATACTACACCAAGAGCATCCAGCTGTCCGTTTTGGTATTGTTCGCCGGCGTGCTGCGGTGATTGACACGGGGTGCCTCACGCCCAGCAGTGCCGAGTCGGGGGCACGGGACCTGGAGGGGCAACAATGGAATGCTCGAGAGGGGTCCAAGCTATCGGGACTTTATCAATTCGAAACTCTGGTGCTCAGTGATCAGAGTGATAAACTTCGCCGGGCAAACATATCACGACATGCTTATGTTCCAGATGTGCGCACCCGACCGACTCGACCCGAGCTGAGGTGGAGGCGATGCATCATGGATGCAGACCCAGCTTTGAGCCGACGGCGGCAGGATTAGGGACAAATGTCGGCTCGAGATGGGAAGAGACGGATGCGGTGCTGCGCCTTGCTCCGACAGGCAGACAGGGCAGACTGACAAGGCTGTGTGAGTGCGAGCAGCCGCAGCCAGCTGGTCATCTCCGTCTCACCGTTGCCCTAAGCTAATTCCCGTCTCCACGACGACGAACCTGACGATGATGTCGGAGGAAGATCAAAAACTGGCTCTGTTCCAAGGCAAGGCAACTTCCACACTACACAGTCAAACAGTGCACAGTAATAACCCCACGCTCCTCTCACTGGACCTGAATTACGACTCTCAGCACTGGGAAACAGGCAAGCGGGCAAAGCAGGGCAAGCAGGGCTGGCTGCCAGGGTTCGAAGCTAGTCCAGTGTCGTATCCACCCGGGGAGGGCTCGTTGATGTTCTCGAAGTAGTAAACCTGATGGAGCACCAATGGCGTCACCGCATTCCAATGGCAGGTCGACATCATTTTCGTTTCATTGAACCCTGGGTGCAGCACTGGATCCTGCTGGATACGACTTGCAAGTCGTCCGGGGTCAGCGCGCAAGGGCAAGGGGCCGGAGCAGCCAGCGATCATCAATCCATCGGCAGAGCCTGCGGAGGCACAGTATTCCGACAAATGTTCGGCGGCACTGCGAGCAAGCAGTGAGCATGCCCACTACTGTGTATGTGTCTGATGCACGATACCTTAATGATCATGGATGCCCTAACCAGCATCTCGGGCCGCACATCACGGAGATGCCATTGTGCCAGTTGAGCCTCACAATGTCGAAAGATCAGAAAATGCATCCCAAAACACCGCTATGTGTTGGTGGACTTTAACCTCAGTTCGCATGATCTACAAATCGAGATTCAGTTGATTCGCATACGGACAACTACACGTGTTGGCGTGTAACGCCAGAACGCTTGCTCCCACCAGGATCCGGGTGGCGATGTTGGGGCTCTCTTCTCCTTTCTTGTCGAGCTTCCAAGAATGCTTCCAGGGTGCTTCCAAACGGGGGACAAAACCCAGCCAGGTGGACGGAACGCGTTATTCGCCGCTTGGCCGCCTTTCCTGGTCAGTCCATGGATGTCTGCGCCAGCACGCCAGAGTCAGACATCTCATCCCGCGTCGAATAAGGTCGAATCCGAGGCGGTTGCCTTTTAGGTCATCCCGGGAATCCTCGATCCAGCACACGTTCACTGATCTGTCGGCCCTGCCCGACGTCATCCGGTCCCGGCGATCAACGAGCTAACCACAACAACGCGCCGACGCGACAGGCCGATTGATCTCATCATGCGCTCCAAAAACCCACCACAATCTGCAGAGAATCTCGATGCAAAAAAGTCAGTACGAGCCTGTTCCAGGTTTTTTTCTGCTTCACCGTGTGTTTTGTGAGAACGGTTTCGCGACATGGCTCTCAGAGGTCGCGCATCATCGTCATCTCATGTTGGGCGTCTGTTTTGTTTTGTTTGTTTACTTTCCGGTTCCTGTTACTCAAGCGCGCGCTCGAGCCAGCTGACCTGACCCCGTCAGCGCTATCGAGGACCACACCGCCATGGAAGAGCCACATTGTAAAGTGGTGTGGCACCAGAAGTGCACTGGAACCAACAGCTATCTACCTGAGAGTCCAATGAGAACAATCAATTGGGGCATCCTCCGCTGGAGCTTCGCCAACGCCGCGTGGTTGCAGTCCTCGCGGCCGCCACGGCCCACGGCAAACAAGGGGACGCGAACGGAAAGCGGGCAATAAGCTCCCAGGGCACCCCTCCCTCGGCTGAAACCTCTGCTCGCACCGGGAGCTTGGGAACGAGCTTGGGGGATAGCTTCCCCCTCTTTTGTTGCTATTCAAAGCTCCGGAGGACCAAAAAGCTCAGCTCCTTCAAGCCACGAGGGCTCACTGAGCGACGCCACGAGCCTACGATGGAAGCCAATTCCGAATTTCCCACCATCGGGTTGCGATAAGAGCATTTGTGGGCTTACGGCCGCTTGCTGGGGCCAGCTCCCCCGCAATTTTGGGCCAGACCTTCAGTCCGTCGTGAGACGGGACCACAGAGCGGACATAACACGATACACGAAGAGATCGCCCGCCTCTGACCGTGCCCAGGCCTCTCTCTGCCTTGGACTTGACAGAAGAAGGCCCGGGAGATGGAGCTCCCTTGCATTCGTCCGCCCCATCCCCCTACCTTAAAGGTGGGAAGGGTGTGATGCCAACGTGCATGAGCGCGTTTGGACTGCATCACGGCGCATGCAGCTTGTCAGACACCCCGGTGGGAGGACCCAGTGGGAAGTGGAGATTCCGTAGGCTTGCGCTTGGGCGCAGGTTTTAGGAGGGTTGCAACTGAAGCTTCCTCCCTGGCCCGGGGAGGGGGGTCTGGGCGAGAAAGTAAACAAGATGAGGGGTCGACAACGCGCTGCTCACGTAAACAAGAAGCCCTGACCGGGGTAGCTGCCGCCGGGTCTGGATCTATCATCACGAAGTCACGGGACCTCGGCGATCCTCACCTAGGCTCTCACCTCGATTCGGTGTAAGCTTACCTTTGAGCGCCAACCGTGGGGACTGCGATCCTAATGATACCATTACATCCTTCGCCAATCCTCTGGAGGTTCCAGAACCAATTTCCCAATGCTGGCACCTTGCACATTCTGGGCAAATAATTATCAGCCCGACTCACGAAGCCATGCCAGGCTTATGTCGAATACTCGTCGCCAGCCGGCAACTGGTGCAAGCAGCTGCCTTCAAGCCGGGACCCGGCATACGCATTCCGGTTCAGGCCAATTCCTGGAATAAAAGGGTGACCGTATGGAATGCTGCGGCTGATTAGACAGCTCCGGCGCCGTCGGGATGGGTGCCAAGCAGGCGGCCGGTGTCAAGCACACCGCGAAGGAGACGGCGTTCACGGCTTCACGGCTGGAACACTCCGCCCCGGAACAAGATCTGAAACTGATCGTACAAGACAAGGATTGTATCATGTCCCCCGACGTGCAAAGTTGTACATTATCATCGGCAGACCTCGTCCTGGAAAATGTAAGTGTCGGCAGCATCACGTGGGCAGCGTTTATGCACTGGAATGGCGGCCTCCCCCCCCTTTTCCCTCAACCCAAACCAACTCACTCGAAGATTGCAAGCGCAGCACTCAGAAGTAGGGACGCGAAATGCTCAGGTAAGATCAGCAGCGGATCATACAAGTCTTATATACCTGGGGGATATTGGAGTCCAAACACCGTCGGTGGCTGTGCTGGCTGTAGTCACCACACGCGGCCGTGTGAGTCACCTGGTGAACCTCACCCACACTGACATTCAGCCAGCCTTCCAAGCCGTAGAACTGGCCCCTTAACCACGGGTTAAGCTTATAATCAATAAAATGTAGGGAAAAGCATGGCCGGATGGTGTAGTGGCAGCATCCATCGTTTGGGACGATGTGGCCCGGGTTCAAATCCTGGTCCGGCCCTATTTCTGTTTTTTTATTCTTTTGGCCTCCTCTGATATTCCAGGTAGTCTTTAGTCCTTGAGACTACACTTGTAGGCGTAGACATCGAGATAGCATGATAGTAGGAGTACATCATGTTCAAATTGACCCAAGTAATCGGTTCCTGTCGTTTTGCCTGCATAGTCACCTAGCATCGTGAACAATTGATTTCCAGTTGTGTTGCTGCTTTGTTTCCAGATCGCACACATGCGCTCTGCTGTCGGCCCTCCCTTCAGGGTAAAAGGGGCACTTGACTTGGCAGGTGGGTTTCCTGTAACTCTGGTACACCGGGCTCATCTCTCGGTATATTAGCACTTGGCCTTTGTGTTGACTGGAAAGCTCTCCAATTGCAGCACGTCACACCTGAGAAGCAATGAGACTGGGAAACCAACACGCTCCTGGTTCTTCTCAAAACCTCAGAAGATTGTGTCTCTACGGTGCGCATCTTTAAGGCACGAGACAATGAGGTGGGCAAGGCGGCACTCCTGAGTGTATAATCCCATCAATTCTCGACTCATATGGGAGAAAAGATTCCATATCTCGTTGGGGCTCAGCTTTTGTCCAGAGCGGTAGTAGTCTAGGACCACCCTTCATTGTCTGAGACATGGGGGAGTCCGGTGCTAACCTGGACATCCCGCAAGACATTCCTCGTTCCGCGCCCACGTCCACCCCACTCGGGTATACATTACGATCGTCCCAGACTCATCTAATCCTCTGTCTCCATGGCCTCGTGGCTACGGCAATCAATCTTCCTAACACCTGAATCGATGACTCTTGTTCGGGTCTGTAAGGTATCATTTTCGTGAGTTCACATGAAAGACAGGCGAAGCGACGGCCGATGAACATTTCACGCATCACCAGAGGATTTTGCATTCACACATTCCGTCCAGAAGTGCCCAATGATTTTATCTGGGAGTTCCGGTAAGAGCCGTTGTCGTCGGAACAAATTCCTCCCTTTGGTTGTTCCCCTATCGCCCGGACAGGTTCTTACCAGACAGACGACGGTCAAAATCTCGCTTCCTTCTTAGTCGCATGGGACGTCGCTCCCGGCAGATTCTTTCGGCACATCTGAAATTCTGATCTCTAGCGCCTATCAATCCTTGGACCTGTTCTAAAGCCTGGTCGAATCTGGAATTCGCCGCCTCTATAGTATTATTTCCCGGAGCCTTAAAGTGGTACCTACGTTCCCCAGCTAGGAAGAAATAGCGCGAGCATATGAGTACTTAAGATTGCGGCCCAACTTTGACGACAAAATGTAAGTACAGTATCTAATTGTCCTTATTCTTCGCAAGCAGTGCCTTCCATTTTTAAAGAGGAACGGTTATGGTAATTAACAACAGGTCTTCATCTTATCTGATCTCGTGCAGCTGTGCGATGTCGCAGGGTATGGAAAAAGTCTCAAGTACTACATATGTAAAGAGAAGGTGGAGTGCACGGTCCTTATGTTCCTACTTGCGTGCTGTGATTGAAGACAAAGTGCAGATCCATCGCCTTTTCCAAGTCCCATAAACCCATAGAGCAATTTGATATATTCGTTCCTACGGTAGGAAATGGATAACACAATCCATATCAAGCATTTGTGGTGCTGATTCTACCAATCACTTCTGCGGCTCATATTTAGCAGCCACATGTCGAACAAAAGACAGTTGAATCTGAAAGCATGAGGAACTCATCGATAACAAAATTAGGGTATCAAATCATGGAAATAACAGATGACACAATTTTAAGCGCAGATTTATTCTTCGATATTGCTTTTTTACGGCCGTCTTCTCGTAATGGCACATCATTCTTATTTTCACATTACAAAGAAATAGTGGTCATCTACATGTCCAAAACTCCATCTCTTTCTCCTTAACTCTCGAATTTCTCGTTCTCTGCCGCAAATTCAGATCCTATTCCTTGGGCACTGATCATAGGCTGAGATGATTGTGCGATAATAAATGATGAGCAAGTTAAAGAATAGCGAGCGAAGACACCCCCGCTCTGCAGATCACACACGTTCAAACGCCCCTGGCCACTTTCATTTCACTTTCATTTAATTTGACCTTTATAAAGCTTGCGCACCTGCCTGAGTATCAGTATAGGCCGCCACTCCACGCGGCTGACACTCTCGCCAAGTCGGAACACGCTTCCCACGGAGGCCCTCAACGCCGAGCATAATAAGCTCATTAGTGGCTGCCATCTCGCGTACGAGTACAAGAAGACTTTAAGCGAGCAGAACTAGGCCCTCCAGAAGGAGTATCAGGCCACGAAGTCCCAGAGGCGGGCAACTATTACATCATCGGCGTCATGGACGAGATGAAGCAATTCAAACGCGAGAATGAGCCTCTGCGCCAGGAGTATCGCCCGAAGTATTAGCAGAACGACTGCCTGCAGGTCTGGGCCTCTTGTCTTTGCGTCTCCAGGCTTCTGTTCCAATTCCTATACAGTAGCCCAGAAGCACTATGATACCAACGATAATGGCGACAAGAATCACTAGGACAATCGTGCCGAGGCCTAACAAGCCGAGGGCAAACAGGAAACGTTTGGTAGATTCACCGAGATCCATTTCTGTGGCTGCAGAGCTGTCAGACCAACGTACCCACACAACGGAGCGTGGTTGTCTTACCAGGTCCAGGGTCTCAGATGCGTGCACTGGGTCGAGTCGTATTGTGGTGTCGGTCTCTGCCGAATAATTGCTTTTGAGTGGTCTTGGGGGGCTGGATGATTGCTTTCGAGTGATCTTAAGGACAAGGCTGTGGAAGATGGCTGTGTGTTTGAGTATAGCCAGATCTTGTGTATACGTTGTGCGAGTGTGTCATCTGGGACATGGTAGCTTTGATCCTTGTCTGTTCTGGGCAATTTGTTTTTGTGTGCCTGAGTTTTATAGTGAAGGCACTTTGAAATAGTGCTTGACGGTGTCAGACTACTAGGTGGCTTGTGTCTTGTGACGGCTTCGACCTTGATGGGTTTGATAGCGGAGTTAGAGCTTGTTAATAGTACCGGTGCGATGGCCCAACGCTAAGACTTGTAGTGTGAAATGGTGGCTTCTGATGGAATACTTTGCACATCTGATCCAGTCATCCTGTAGGGGGTTATCCCATAGGAGGCTATTCTATAGGAGGCTATCACATAAGAGGTCATTCTATAAAAGGCCATTGATTCTACTGAAGGTTATTTTGTGGAAGGTCATTGTGTGAGAGCTCATTTCATAGGGGGTTATTCTACAGGAGGCTGATCTAGCAGAAGGTTAAACATGTAAGGAGTTGGGTAGTGAGTGCTACCTAGGCGTTCTACTACATAGATGCTGTAGCCGCATAGCGGACACCCAAACAAATTTAGGTGACAAGTTCAAGATACAATGTCTCGCCGCCATCCGCTGCAGCGCGAGCTCGAACGCCATGTAAACTTGCTGTGGGCCGGTCGAATGCACAGATCCCTGGTCATATGATTGGATTTCGATCGCTTACAACGACCGGCTTCAATCTCACAAGTGGGAGACTGCAGTGAGACGTCGTTCTGAATTGTCTTGCTAACTGCCCCGGGGCCCCACGGCGCTACAGTCGAGGCCTTAGCTAGTATGTGGCTGTCAAGAAGCTTGATTTCATCAATACCTGCAGAGATCGATAACAGAAGATGAGTTACATATGGAAGAACACCTCGCATTAATCTCGGTTGCATGCGGAGAGACACCTGGGCAGTATCCAGTCGGCTTGATGCGGCGTGGAACGAGCCCCGACGTGATCGTGCATGTTATCTTATCCATCTTATCAGTCGCTTACATAACCCATTTGATCCAATCACATGCGGATCGCATGAAGTTGCCCAACTTTTTTTTGATGATCTGAAGAAGACGGAAACCGCCCGTATCCAACCCCATAAGGCAGCGGAGATCCGATCAATTGGCGTTGAATTGCTGCTTCCACACTTATGATGCCTCCGAATAAGCGCAAGCACCGAAAGGAGAACCCAAACGCCATCGAGCCTTCACAAAAGAGAGCCAAGACTGGTACCTCCGCCGCCGATGTCGATGTCGAGCCCGCGCCGAAGCCCGTGAAGTTCGAGGGTGGGAAGAAGAAGGGCAAGCCTGCTCCCGCCAAGCCACTTACGAAGAAGCAGCTCCTTGCCGACAAGTCGTTGTTCCCAGAGCAGCAGGACCGTAACGTCGAAGCCCCTCTCTATGAGCTGCTGGGCAGCGAGGACCCCAACGAGCGCCTTCTGGCCGCCGATGTGATCATATCTAAGCTCCTGGACAAAGATGGCGTCTCGGAGTCATCTCTCGACAGACACCTCGAAAAGCGACTATTCAGAGGGCTCGCCAGTAGCAGGAAGGCATCAAGACTGGGCTTCAGCGTCGTGCTGACCGAGATACTGCAACAATTATGGGGAGAGAAGGACCTCTGCGGCGAGAAGTACCGAGGCCTCACGTTCGACTTCGTCCTGACTACACTTACGGAGAGGACGAAACCAGTTGGAAACATTGCTGGTCAGGAAGAGAAGGACCACTACTTTGGCCAGCTGTTTGGCATTGAATGCTTCGTACGGGCCAAGATACTTTTCGACGATGTCACGAGGTGGAACACGATCTTGGCGCTGCTGATAAAGCTGGCCAAGAAGAAGATTTGGCTCAAGCCGCAGTGCGCGTGGATCATTCTACAAACCATACCTCAGATGGACCAGCAGGTCGCAGAGGAGACTCTGCGTAAGCTCGACGAGGCTGGTTGGGCCAAGACACCGGACGCAGTGGCCATTACTGTTGTCTTCACGGAGAAGTTCCCGAAGATCAAGCTGCCGTCGAAATCTTGGAGGGACTACTTGTCCTCCAAATACCTCGGCGAGCTGCCAGCTATATTGAAAGACAGCGGGAAGCAGGAAAGCAAGCAAGAGAGCAATGGCGACGAACCCGCCCAGAAGCAAAAACAGGCAAGCTGGACCGCGCAATTGCATATTGTCTGGGACATCATACTCGCCCACTACGTCAAGCTGGTGTCAACAGACCCCAA